ATGTGACCTAAATTTACGCATTTTCGACATTTATGCAAATCCTAAGAAGAATGTCCTTTCTCATCAATGAAATAGTATTTAAAATACTTGTTTTTCGTTTTCGTTTAACCGGTAGTCTTCGATTATTAGTTCTTTGTCTTGGTGGATCTATTCAGACCGGTTTTAGATTGGCTAAGAGCTTTCCGTTATTTTAGGTATATTTCATGAGTTGTACATATGCTGTGTTACTTGAATAAATCATTTCACGACCCAGAAAACTCGAGATCATAACCATAGTATCAATATGAAGATACACTTGCTTCAGATAGAAGAAAATTGAAGACATAATTTCCCAAAAAATGAATGCAGCCAAAGATATTTATGTACGCGATTTCTGCCAGTCATATTTCGATTTATAAGGGCAGATAACATGATTGGAAAGACCGATACAACTTAATTGGTAAGGTCATGGCCGATTCACACAATAGTCCATTGGAAAAAGAGTTAATTTTAGAACAAGGAACATGTGAGGACGACCGAGTCATAAATAGCAGGATGAAAGGTGTAAACTCACTCTGACAACAAGCTCGTGAGGTCATTTTGACAAAAATAACAGTGTGGGGTGATAAACAAACGGCATTAGAACTGCAGACTGAGAATTGAGATAACACTGCCAATAGAAGCGAAGAGACGAGTCCCAGGAAGTAGTCTTGAAGAAGGAGACACGATCGTTGGGACAAGAGCTTTATTAGCCTGACGTTTCGGATTCCTGCTCGAACCCACCATCAGCAGACAAAGACAGACCCGTGGGCCACAAAGAGACTGGCTTCGCTGCATGTATTCGGCTTTACTAACGGCTCTTCGGATCCCGCATGCTCGACTTTTCCTCAAGTTCTGGGCCCACTTCTGACAGAAACCCAACCATCCTCATCGACGTAAGCCCTTCAAGCTCTTCTGGTGCTTCTTCTCTGATAAGCAGAATGCCCGGGAGGTCCAATATCCATACTGCATACTTCACCTCATGCGTCCGCCAAGTCGGTTGAACGTGGGATGACACATTGCTGACGGGCTATACAGGTGTCTGCCATCGTCACCACTCAGCTGGCTCCCAGGATCGACCTTAGCCGCGGAACCACTGCCGGAAGTGAATACGATTCCGACCTCCAAAGCTGCTTTCTTCTGATTACTACTGACGACGGCATCCTCCAGTGGAATATCTTTACGAATTTTCATGGTCACTTTGGCCCTCAATAGCACCGCCGCTGAGCTGTCTCTTCTGTGTGCAACCGTTCCCACACAGGAGGCCGAGACACAGAGGAACTGTGCGCTGACAAAGTCGTTTGACCGACGTGTACGAGGACTTGAAGGCACAGACACATTTGAGCTTTCAGTTCGTAAATATCCACCAAGTTCGTTAATATCCACCAGCGCACCTGACATCTTCCCACGCCGTAGACCACCCGGCTCTCTCTCTCTGGCGTCTGCACTCCCCCTCCCCTGCGTCGCAAGTATTCGTAGTGGCCATCACACCTGCAGTCGTTAAAGCATACCTTTGGCATCTCCTTTTGCCATCACGGTCGCCTGGACACCCAATTCATGAACCCCTCTTTTCATCCTCCCCGCCTTTTTAAGCCCAATCCATCTCCGTACCTCAGCCTATCACTCAACCGCCAATGAGATGATCCGGTAATATTATCGCGGCAGGCTAGGCCGAGAGTGAGGCCCTGGCTACCATGACCTTCAGGCCCAGCGGACGCCAGTGGGAAGGAGAATATATTCTGTACAGATTAACTGGAGAAGTAGTTGGCAGCCGGACAAGGGCACGTCCAGTGCCGGGTGAACGGCGTCCCAAGGGTCCGGGTGTCTTACGCCAGGACGCGTCTGACTCGGCCTTGAATCTGATTGGTCAGCTGGAGAGCCGAGTGGACAAATACCAGGCCGCCCTGGTGCAGACGGACACTCACGAGAGGCCCAGAGTTGAGATAGGCGCTCGGAGTAGGGCCACTACAGTTTGATCACCAGCGCGGTCGTTCTACCCCTCCTTAGAAGTGATCTCCCAAACGCCCCCCCGCGGGGGTGATGGCGATCCTGTTAGCTTGTGGCGGCCAGCCATCATGACCGGTCTGGTGTCATTGTTCAAGACCTCGCTGCCTCAAGGTCATTGACCTCTTGCAGCGAGTGGTTCCACACGCGCTGACCTGAAGTCACACGACCTACAGCTTGAGCACACCTGCGTCCGCACAGCCGCAGCTGCCCATGCGGCCACTTGAACACACCTCCCCCCTGCAACCACGACCTAAGCCACTGGTACACCACCCCTCGGCAAATGCAACACACACCGATTGGAGACCACTTGAGCCTGGCCCACGAGCGGCTGCCACCACTATCTCAGGGACTCTCCGGCATGACTGGACGCAGTCAACACCAGCCCTGTCTTCGCCAGTGGCCACTGCCGCCTGAGAGGACAACTCCGGGTTCTGTGCACAATAAACCCCTCCTTCTGGTGCCTTCCGTCTTCTCCTTCCAATCTGGGATTCGACTTGATAATTGTTGCTCACTGACTACACACATTCTCACAGCTGTGCCACTACAAACTTACTGTACCGCCTCTGCCAATCTCTGTGAGCTCTACCCTCAGTTCATCCGTGATCATCTCAGGGTTACCGTCCCGGATAGTTCACTTGATGCGTTTAGTGGTCCCCTCCTATTCTTTTTTTCTTCATTCTGCTTCAAACGTGGTCTCTCCGTTCTAATGTCCCGCAACCACCTTTACTCTCTCACACCACACACAGTACTTTCCTCTACATACACCTCAGCAGGGTCATCGTCCTCTAAAACTCCTTCTGTCCACGCCACCCCAAGTGTGCATCGCCTTAATTCTCCTGGTCGGATATGAATATACAGCTCTCCTCTCCCCCCCTCAGTACCAAGGCGCAAGGTAATCTGTAATTCGGAGGTAGTGGTGAGAGGGCTTTTGTGGGAGAAACCTTTTGAAGGAACGGGCGATACGATCGACATCATATAGCAGGCCAAAAAGTAGTGTTTGCACCGTAGGTCTGGTTAAATATCTTAATTAGCTCTCAATTCTTCGCCCCGGGCAGTATAAGAAGGAGTCATTATGAGCCCACGTGACCTCATGAAGAAAATGCTGCGAGCTCACGTTCGGGAAGAATTCAGGTAAATTATCTGGTAAACAGAGGGACCAATTAGCTTTCGCTAAGGCTCTCGGGACCCTACGCGTAAAATTCCTTTTGCAACTATTGCCGTACTAGATATACAAGGCTGCATATATGTTCATATCCTACCGCTTTCCAGTTCGTGTCTTTGGGCATGGACTAGACCCTTAGAATTAATTCGGGCTGCCTTTGGACTAAATGGGAAGGTACTGTTTTAACTTATATTCATTGCAGCAATCAGCACCCCGTACAGTGAGTGACTGATCACATGAAATGTCGGCAGAAGCCCAACAGGCAGCCACAGTGAGAAATCCTCTCTAGGTGGGTCGGGTACAACGGGATGGCGGTTTTGAGGGGAAGAACGGGCGGGGCAAACGGCAAAGGAGACTAAATTGGCAGATAGAAGCCGAAAAATGTTGA